GTAGTAGTAGTAGTAGTCGTCGTCGTCGGAGTAGTGGGAGTAGTAGTAGCAGTAGTAGTAGTAGTAGTAGTAGTAGTAGTGGGAGTAGCAGTAGTAGTAGTAGTAGTAGTAGTAGTAGCAGCAGTAGAAGTAGTATAGTAGAAACAATACTAGAAAGGGCAATAGCAATGGCATGGTAGTAAATAAGGAGGCATAGCATCCATCGTTTTGTTTGTTGATCGCTTGTTCCGCCTACTTCCGGCCGGCGGGGTTTATAGCTAAGGCCCACATCACTTGGACGTAGGCTTTGCGTGTCTCGAAAGCTTTGGGATGACGCAAATCTCGACACACTTCCAGCTCAACTCAAAAAACTACCGGTGACGGCAAGAGCACCCCATGCACAGTAAACATCAGTAAACACCAATCTGCATGTGCAATTGCCTGCACATGCTTCCACGTTGAAGGACACCGCATTTCCAGCCACTTTACGCAGGAGCTTCTTCCAGCCTCAGCCCAGTGCACGCTCTGGCGCTTGATAGCAGAAACCCAAACAGTCACATCAGATGAAAGCTCTGCGCCGCCACATGTTATGTTTCCAGGCCGATTCCCATAATGCGCAGAGGAGCGGGACTTCTCGCCGCGGGGCAACCAGTCCACAGCGAGCTCCAATCGAACCTTCCTGGGATCAACACGGTTGCTGCGATTTCTAGTGCCTCTCCTAATACCTAGTAAGGAAACCAGTCCATGTGAAATTGGCTCACGGCCACGTGTTCAACGAGGCGTTTGCTGTATCCGGTGGTTCCGAGAAACCTTTAAAAGCGAGCCTTGCCTGGCCAAGCTTCGTTAGGCAAGTCCATCTATGTATCCAAGGAGTGACAAAGCCGTAGCGCAGCAATGCGTAGTAGTTCGGGTGCAAGCCTCAACGCAGCAAGCCGCGAAGAAGAAAAAAGTGGGTCCTGTGTCTACAGCTGATGAAGACTCTGCATGAGACCTGGAGCCCGTCCCTTCAGCAGTTCACAAAATGTGGCAACAGCCAGTGATTGCCCAAGCCACCGTATGCCACAGTGACTTCCTGCCTGCGCCATGCATACAATAATATGAATTAACTGCCACAAATTTTGGTCGAGCTATATCGACCTACCCCCGTCCTGGCGAGGAATGCATGCTGCGAGAACAGCTGGGCAGTGAAGCCATCAGCCTGGTGCTTCACCTGGCCGGAAATCGGGGTCGGTGGGCTCAACTCAACTTGTTGGCCACGGTCACAACAAAAACCGACGAGGGCTGCGAGTTTTCTCAGATGCGCCTCGACGCGGGCAGCTGCTGCTTCGCGGAGATGTTCTTCAAACTCCTTAAGTCCAGCGAGGAAAGCCCAACAGCCGCCCATCACCCAACAGCTACAACTAGATGACATACGGTTGCAAACTGCTTCAAGTCGAGCACCTCCGAATTGAGAGTGGCATTGGGCTCCCCAATTTCGTGGTTCGCCATGTCGATGAACGGATACAGCCTTCAGCCAGAAAAGGGGGATCTTTAGGGATCGGACTTATCTCAAAGAGCACGGCCGTTGGGTGCTCTTGACGTCATGTCCCCTCACCCGCACCGGGTGCCTAGCCACAACCAGTGCAGTGCAAATCAAGCCCCTCCCTTCTCACAGCCTTAACTGAAGGCCTTCAGACTTAGTGGAATGCATCCGCTATCGCTCACACATCCGGCCGTACGTATGACAAAGGCCTTCAAACTCCATTCCACGAAGATGCGCGGCTACATCGGCTACGTGCTGCCATGCAACACAGCATCCTCGCCAGCCTCTGGCGGCAGCGTGAAGGACCGCGCCGCCACGAAGGAGTAGGCAGCCTGCGGCTGTAGGAACTAAGGCCTTCACGGGGGGATTCGGGGCGGCTACCCGTCCCGAGTGCTTTTGAGGCTACAGCAGTCAATCATTCGTAGTTCGATGATATCTACGTAGTTCTCATAGAGTGAGCAAGCCGCCCATCCTGTCAACTGCAACGAGCTGTTCCGGAAGCTGTGATCCTGATACTCCGCCAGTGGATGGCTGGCAGCAAGGTTCGGGGCAGCTGCGGATAGAACATCGTACCTTAGGCCAGCACAATTCAATAAGTCAAGTTTCATGGCCCTGTGGAGGAAGCGACCACCAGACTTCAAAACTAGTTCTGAGCTGCACCAAATTTCGGAATTCGTGCTGCTGCGCTGCTCCCTGCGCATCGCCCGGCGCATCCTCGGCAGCTCATGCTCAGCCATTGTGCCTGGAATCCAGGAGCCCGGATCAAAAGGATGTCCAACAGACTGGAGACGTTATAATTCTCCGGCTTCTGGTGGTTTGTTGGGTCCACCCTGCAGCTCAGCCTGAAAGTGGCCTTAGTTTAGAGCCCCCCATACTTCCTGTCATGAATGCGCTATTTCTTCAAGAGCACAGAGGAAGGGAATGACAACGACAAAAATTGATCCACTGTACCATGCTGGGTAGGCTACATTGAAAGGCTTGGAGTACCGGCCTTGCAGCTCTGCTTGGTCTCCGGCTGGCCAGAAAAGTGGCAGCCTCTGACATGCGTACACTCGGCGCACGCATGAGCTGCAAGTACCATGCGACCGACCAGTCCAGTCCGCGACAGCGCGATGTCAAGCAGAGCAGTGGCAAGTCTGTGCATAGGCCCCCTGAAGAGAGATGCTGGTCCTACGACTGCTGAGTAGCCACCGGATCAACGACTCGCCTCGGCAGCATCGTCTGCGCGGATTTTCGCAAATCCTAAGTCGGTGTCTTCCACGGCCGTGGGATCTGTGGCTGTCTTGGCATAAGACATTGCTGAATGATTTCTCTTCTGTCTGACGATGGGGATGCCTGATGGGGATGCCTATGGCCTATGGAAGTTGTTCAAGCTACCTGCCACCCAAACAGTCCTGAAGATAGGCGCGATGCCACACCTTGCCTCAAAACCGGAAATATCCAAAGGTTAAGCCGAGACTCTCGAAGGTAAGGTGCGAACCGCTTTGACGGGGAGCGGTGCTGAAGCTGCTCAAGGATGAATGCCTCAAGGGAGTGGCATCAGCCAACCGTTTACTGGGTTCTTGTTAAGGGATT